TTAACTCAAGCTTAGTTTGTGTGAAAAAATATTACAAAAATATTATGAAAGCCAACGTTTTTAATCCTCAAACTATGTATGTACCTACCTCACGAAGGACACATTGTTTTGTGTGATAAGACTATAGAGAAACTTTGGCAGTCCTTTAAACACAAAAAGCAAAAGCAGAACAAATGTAAAACTCCTTACCGACAGTTTGAATACCTAAATGATCAATTGTTTTCGTAAGAGTACAAACTTATTAAAAATCACCAATCTTATCACATACAAAGAACAAATCAAATTGTAAACCAATATAACTCCTATCCCTTCCAGCAAACTATTTGAAAAAATTCTGGCTTGTGGGCTTAGCTTGGCTTGTTACTGAACTTATCACTCGCAGCCAATCTGTATTTAAATGCAATAAATAATATTGACATTATTGTTTAGTTTTATAGACTTTAATAGTTTTACAGCGAAAAATTTAAGCAGATATTGTTAAATATTTAGTATATACTAATTTTTTATTTAATTTTTATTAACTTTTTATTTGCAGTTTAAATATTATTTCGAACATTGATAATTTTTTGTTTGTATGTGTATTGTTAAAAATGTATTGCATTTTATTTATTTATTTCATCATCAAACAAAGCTGTCGACGTAAAAAAAATGCATTACATTAGAGAACTTTAACTGAATTAAACTTAACAATAAAAGAATCGACTCGATGAGGAAACAGCCACCTATGCCCCAATTCAGAAGCTTTACTTGTGACTGTATCTGCAATTACAAAGCTATTTCATTAATGGGATATTTTAAAGTTTCACGGATTCTCTATCGCCCGTTTGCATACTCACCAGATATATCAATGGATGACACTCCTCTCTAATATTTGAGTTGAAAGACCTTTTTTTATAGCACCACAATAAAGCCAGTGTGGACCTATGGTTCACATGAGGAAATACGACTTTTTTCAACAAACCCAATCTAAAATCCTCAAAATCTTTAAAGGAGCTTCCGGTCCTATACTCTGCAAGTAACGCACTCAAGACTCAGGATAAATAATCCGCAATATATTCTATTATTATTATTAAAAAAACACAAACATATACTTATAAAGAATTAAACATATGAGCTTCAGTTAAGTTACAAAAAGTGAGCTGAAATGCGATAAAAAGATAGTCCATAAGCATTTAACATAATATATAAGAACTTATGATGATTCTTAAATAGAAAGAAGATACAATAAATAATATAATATCAAAAAAAGAATTAAACATATGAGCTAAACTTAGGTAACAAAAACTGAGATAGAATAAATAATGTAATATTATTAAAAAAAAAAGAATTCAACATACTTGTATGAGCTAAAGTTAAGTAACAAAAACTGAGGCGAAAATCGGCTCCATTTAGCCAGCCGTGTCTGCACAGTTTTAGCTGCACAGGCAGAATCCGTTAAGTTGACTGCAAAACTGTCAAAGCTTTGCGCGCTGCTTTCATGTGGAGGTATGTCGTGCGATTATTGATTTTTCTACTCGCATACAGTTGCCGAAAATTGCAGTTAATGTCTTGGCAACATGATTAAGACACATGCTTAGCACATAACGCACTTGTCACATGCGGCGTATGAGTAATAACTAATATAACGAGCAAATAAATACAGAAAACTTTAATGAAAAATCTCATGAGAAAGCGCGCAACAACAAATTGTTTAATGGGTCTGTGTGTGTTTGTGTGTGTGTGTGTGAACTGAGTGCAGGAAACAGCAGCGTCGACGTCACTCTCTTGCTCTAACTCTCTGCCATGCTCTCTCTCGCTCTGGCTCTCGCGCTGTGTTGACGCTGCAGCGCAGCTGGCAGCAAGGCAGCAAGGCGAGCAGCAAAGACCAGGCCAACTGTTTAGGCGGCAGTCGATTTTTGCGCAGAGCAAAGGCAGTGAAAAAAAATTGAAAGAAGCACTCAAAAGCGTTGCGAAGAGAAGAAGTTGAAAATCTTTTGAATTTTCTACGTGCAATTGATATATTTTTGAACATTGTGTTACCGAATTGTGAACTCATAGTTTAAGCGGTGTTTGCATTTACTACGACTTTCGACTTAGTGCGAAACCCTTTTGATACGAAACCAAAAATAACCAACAACAACAACAACAACACAAACCTCAAGTTGCAAATACACTGTTGTTGTAAACGTTTCCTTTTCTAGAACAAAAGGTGAGTGTGCTAGCAAAGTTAGTTAGTTAGTTGTTATTGTTGTTACTGCTATAGTTGATGATGTTGTTGGTGTTGCTTTTGTGCTGCATGTTGCATGCCACACACATGTCAGTAACGCTGTCTCTTTTAAACGTGCAGCCGCCTATGACGTAACTTGTGTGCGTGTGTGTGTCACATTACTCATACGCCTCGTGCAGCGCAAAGCAAAGCAAAGCAAAATAAACAGACGCCTCACACATTTAACGCCTCACCAAAAAAAAAAAGTAAATAAATAAATAAAAACGAAGGGGGTGAAAAATTTGGAAGCTGCAAACAGCACATTTATTTTCTGCTCCACTCTTTCGTGCATTTTAATAAAAATAAAGAAATGCGCGCACTCATCGTCTGGCCAAATGCTTGCGAATAAATAAATATTTATTTTCACTCACTCTTTCTTATCGGGTCTGCAATTTTGTAGAGGCGCCCGCCACCGGCTATTTTTAAGACTACCGTCAATTTTTGCGACTTTCGTGTATTTGCCAAATTGATTTATGCCCCGGCGATTGGCTGCTGGCTGCCTGCCCAAAATCTGTGGCAACGCTCACGTGGCAGGCGTCGCCTCGGTTGCATTGATCGGCGCATTAAATGCATTTTTTCTAAATCGCCGGACTACTACTGTTTTCCCTCACTAAAGTACAAAATTACCGGCGCGGCGATAATTACCGCCATACACAAAGGTAGCGGGCCGCTCCGTCAGCGCATTGTTTATAAATAAACCATGAGTAGCAGCAGCAGAACTTAAAGTGCCGGCATATCTCAGAACCATCGGCAACTTTCGAAGGGACTCTCAACAATAATAACAGCTGGCTACGATTTCGTTTACAGTGCATCGTAATGAGATCGTTTCGTTAAAGGCAGCTGCATCGATCGAAAAATAATTGCCATTTGTCTATTCGTTTGTGCTTTCATTCAAAAATTGAAATCGTTATTATATGAAAAATAAAATTACACTTGGGCTGGATTTAATGTCAATGTTAAATTTACTTCCTTTCTTGGAAATGAATTTTGTTCCATCTCGGTTCTCTGTCGGTACTGCAGTTTTGTGTAATATTTGAATTTCTGTTTCCATTTCTGGACGCAGCTCAATTGTTAACTGCATACAATGGCACTAGGCTATCTAAACGAATAGGATCAAACTTTAATTTAGGTTCCTCAAAAAGAAGTGGCTGAGCGTTAGCTTTTGTTTAGTATTTGTCGAAAAATTCAGTCACACTCAGGCTGGAATGTGGCGGCGCATTATACGGGTAGTCGTAAAAAATTTATGAATTGGTTTTTTGATACGAGTCTGGCGGCGACTTAACCTCAACCAGAATTTGCTGGGTTGATCTAAAGGAGATGTTGGGAGCCTCCTCTCTCTCTCCCTCTCTCTCTCTCTCTCCCTCTCCCTCTAATGCCAACAAAACGATTTTGACTCACTAAACGCTTTATGCAACTCAAATACTTGCATTCTCAATAGAGTAGACTTCATAAAACTCTTCTGCAATATAATATTTTCAATGGTTCCGTAATTCCATTGGAAACACTTTGAAATTTACATTTTTAAGCCAACTTCAATTTTTGTTTCCATAATAATAATTGCCAAACAAACTTTTCGCATCGTTTACAAATAGCTGCCAACAAACACACACCAATTAGCATATCCCGCTCAACTGCCCACGTATGTATGGGAAACAAGGTATTACTAGTCCAGACAAATAATTGGCATTTTTATCGATTCGACAGCGTACAAGTTCTGTTCTAAGTAGGCATTATTTTATATATTTTCCCTTCTTTTGACAGACTTTTCAGTTTCGGCTCAGGCTATCAATGTTCGTTTTGTGTTGGTAGAAAAATTAAGATTTAATTCCTTGAATTTTTGATTCAACATTGGTCAGTTTCCACTTTGGTTTATGCAATTCTTTAACTATTTTTGTGCCTGAAATCGAGAGAGAGGTTAAACGCCGATCTTACTGTTCCAGTTAGAAAATTGCTGTTAATCAAATTTCAAACAAACTTCAGATGATAAGTCAGCTAATAGCACATTTGAACATGGGTGTTTTTATCGATTTCTTGAGATCAACAGCAAAATGAATTCAGTTTACTAAAAAGACACTAATTACGAATTGGCATTCGGAAAAATAAAAAAAATAAAATCGTTTCGAATTCTTCTAAATGTACTATAATAAAAACTTTCGGACTCTTTCAAAGTTACAAAGCTGATTCGGTTACGTATAATTCTTTTGGCTTCTTCGGCTACATATATTTGTTCGCATATTCTTCAAAAGTTTCTTCAATTCAGACGCAAGTCTTGTGACTTTGGACTCTCGTTAATTGTTCTTTTGCATTGGAAAGTCAATGTCGCATTGTCTCAAGTTTAATTATTTCTCTGTATCTGCTCTTGAAATAAATGCTATACACTTACATATCTACGTGAGATTGTTTGTGTGACTGTGAGTGTATCTTTAAATTGGCTTTTTGCAGCATTTCGCTTTTGGTAAACGAGTTACGTAAATTGTGGCGCTGTCAACAAAGCTAGGGTTGTAATGCCCCCACCTTCACACACACATATGTCAATATGTTTTTCACACACACCTATCTATCTAACTAACTATATACGTCATTCGGATGCATTTGTTGCGCTTGGTCGCTACATTAAAGCGGCGGCATTTGTCATCATGCTGTTAAAAGAGAGAGAGGGAGAGAGACAAAGAGAGCAGTAGAGAGGCACGTTTGTTTTTTATATGTTCTATAAAAGCTAAATGCTATTTAGATTTTCTATTTTTTGTATTTACAGCAAAATGTTCGCACTGTGGTATTTAACGTTCGCTGTTGACGAAATACGGTAAGTCTAAGTCTAGAGCTTAGTAGGTATTAATAGTAAGCATAATAGGTAAGAGAATCCCAAAACACAATAAAGCTGAAGTGTCCCCTATTTGTTGGCTTGCCGCCTTTTCTGGCACTATGTGTTCTGTATTTTCCAAGTTACTACAAAATGTATTTGGATTTCATGCAAGTCACATACAGTTTTATGGTCACTGGTTGGCAAGTGCGAAATATTTTTGTGCAGCATACTTTTGGGGTGAATGCCTTAATCGTAAGTGTATTCATTAAGATTTTATTTATTTTCTTTTGATTAAAGATTATAAACTAAACTATAACTACTTAAAAAATTAACTTTTAACTAACTTTTTTCGTTGGTTTTCTTTTTATTAAAATAAATAAATTAAAACAATGTGAGCTTTCCATTTTCTTTCAAAATATTTAAATTCAAAAGGTTGGTTCATGGTTAATGGAACCCATTAATAGAAAATATGTTCAATTGCTGAACCATTACAAGCCAAATTACCAACGAATTACAAATAAAATGATTTTTTATAAAATGAAAATATAAAAAAAAAATTTAATTGACATGATTTTTCATTCAATGCTTTGATACTTCAATTATATTTTTGTCTTTAAAAAGTTCACTGTGTTATGGGTACAGTTTACAAGCCATTTTTATTGTTGAAGCATAACGAGCTTTTTAGTTTGATAATTTGCAATAATCGTATCGCTAATAAAAACAGGTTTTCACTAGAAATAATTTACTCTGTATGTATAGTAAATTGCTAAAAATTTGGCGATGCTGTCAATGCCACAACATAGCAAACTATTTCGTGTACCAAAAAGCAGTGAGTAAGCAAAATTTGTAAAGCTAGAATTCTAGTGCTCCCAGTTCTCATGACAGTACAGAGTCTGAGTCATATAACAATTGAATTGCTTATGTACATATGTATACAGTTTGTGCTGACAGACGTTCTCGAAGAACTTTTTAGCGCAAATTGCTTTGCAAAAGTTGAACAGCTTAATTGGTAAACTTTTTGCAATTTACTTGCAGTTTGTTAAGTATTATCATATAATTGTGCAGGAGTTAAGTTAGTAACGAATCAGAATTGTATTTATTTACAATTTGTGGAAGTGAATTCATTGCTTAAAGATTAATAATCATATACAATTAAAAAGCCATCAACAATTCTGGTGATACTTAATTAATTAATTAATCTGAATTGTGGCCAAAAATAAATTCAAGGTTACGTCTGTTAAAACATTCTTATTCGTAATTACTGGGCATTATTCATACATTTTTCTAAGACACCATAAAGTTTGTAGCACAATACAAATCATTTCCTTAATCCTATTTAGTTCGACTGTGCTGCGACATTATATGACCAATAGCCCCATATCTGAGACTGACATAAATCACATTCACGATAAGTTAACCGACAATTACATATCAAATTAGCGAAAGACTTTCACGAGAACCTCTCAACAAATCTAATCTTATCTTCAAACAACCAAGGCAATCTAACAGGCTCCCCACTTCCTCTATCAATGCTGCTTGCTGCGATTTATTTGCTAAGTAACAAAATATTTCCATGCATTTGCTATTGTCACATGATGTTTGCAATATTGAAGAAATATTCATATATATGTATGTGTATGCCAGATACACAAACACATTTGTAAATAAAAAAACTGAAAGACCGGTAAAACTAACGAAACTTGCACGAGCCAATAACCGGCTGATGGCTCTAATAATGATAACTGCAATCAGCTGCTGTCGCCACACACACACACACATACAGACCACTCTCTCTGAAACACACACTCTCCCAATCGGATGGTTCAAATGCTTCGCACAAAACAGTTGTGAATTCGCGAAAGTAAATAAATAAAATGAAAGAAAATGAGCCAAATGTGAATTCACGTTCTCGCAATCTGAACTATCGCATTGCTAATTAAGGCAATAATGAAAGCGATAATTGTTGAGTTTGAATTCATATTTGTTGGACTAAGAGAGTAAGTCGGGGCGTATGCGTAATTTCTGTTTGTGCTGACTGCGCTCGTCTGTTTGCTTATCTACTTATTTGCCGGCTACACACACAGCCATATGCCTCTTCGATGGTGTGTGTGTTAATGTGGGGGAGCCGGCTTTGGCGTACGTGACAAAAAAAAAACTGCTGACGTTTTTTTCTGGCGTTAAACACGCAATAATGCGCTCAGGCCACAACACTTGGCCAAATGGGTCCAACACTCACACATACACCGATTTGTATAAATAGTAACTACATTTTAGCTTCCAGTTTGTTGATTGCAACAATTTGTTGGCCCATTATGTGAGAGCTTCTGAGAGGCATAAATCGTCATGGTCTTGTATGTTTAATACTTAATATTGTTATGATATGATATCATTTCTATCAAATATTGATTGTCTTTAAATAAAATATAAATAAAGTAGTTTATTCATAGCTATTCACAACATAACACAGTTATAATCAAAAAGAAAGTTTTGTTCCTTCTTCTTACTTCGTTACTGGAATCAAATTGCTTACATAAGTTTCATATGAAATGGGTTTTATAATCATTAAAGCCCATATCTGGACGGAACTTTAAGCAGAGTTTATACCTGGGAAAGTTTGGTTCTTCCAGGGCCTGAAGTATGCGATGCTTCTGAAAACTCTGAACATGTTTTTATTATTTATTTATAATATGGTTATATCATTTTATGCATAAATAGTATTTATCTCAGTTTTGGCGTTGTATTAGTTTATTATCAAGATCACCTTCAATTTTAAAATCAATATTAAATTTGATGATGCAGTGCCATGTGTACATAAGGTGTAGTCGTAGTTGGTCTGAGAACTTCACTGTTGAGTGTTTTTTATTAATTAATTTTTAATTAATATGGAATTAACACTTACTTATTTAGCATCTCCGCTTAGCTGTCTTTACAACTACTGAACACAATGACAAATCGATAATTTATTGGTGAGGTGGTAAAAATAATAAGATTTAATTATTGAAAATTAATCGTATTACTACATTAACGCATTCGATTACCCTAATTCAAATCCCATGCCATACGTTACATAAATCGATTAGTGATTTAATTGCATTGTGAGGTCAATGAATAGACATGGGGTCACACTGTTTACGTCCGCCTTGCTTTTGGCGCCTGTCAAATGTCAAACGTCATCATCAGCCTTTGACAGCCGAACAAGGAAGAAGCGTAGATCAAAATATCCCAAGCAGCTTAAGCAAAATAGTTTATTAAACTGGCAGTTTACATAAGATTTACAATATTTTGTGCGAATAAATACAATAATAGGTGTTGCCAACAATACCCAGCACAAAGGTGAGTGTAAATGCAATTAATATGCCACAAAATTGCGTTGGCAAAAAATTTATTTTTGACGCAGCGTCGGCTGTTTGCGAAAATTCTTCGAAAAGAGGCGCTGCACGAAAATGGCAAACAAACATATTTCTACTTAGTTTTGCATGACGTATGTAAATATTAATTTTGCTTATAATTTATAGTCTTATGATCATTATAAGTTTGTTTGAGTTGTTTTAAGTAACTTTTTTATTTTCTTTCTTTTTTCTTTTGGCATACACACATTTGCACACGTAATACAAATTATAGCAAACGTCTTGCTTGGTTATTCAAATCAAATAAGCCGGCCCAACCTGCGTTAGACAACAAACCAGCAACTCCAACCGCAAGTCCAGCACCTGCGCCTGCGAAGCCATCCACATCAGCAGCGCCAGCTCCGCCCAAACCTGCGCCGATTACTGTTACACCGCAACCTGCGCCTGCAACACCACCAGCAGCAGCGAAACCAAGTGTACCTGCTCCTGCTCCTGCTCCAGCTCCCGCACCAGCACCAACCCTTGCTCCTATTACTCCAACTACTAAGCCAGCAGTTGAACCCAAAAAAGTTGCTGACAAAATGCCGATTCCCTTGCCCAAATCCTTGACCGAGGCCAATACCAATGGCGCCACCAATGGCAACGAAAATGCGGCTGTCGCCGTTAACGACATTTCGGATAATTTGGACAAGAAACTGTTCGATGCTCAGCAACCGAGCAAGATTGTGAAGATCGACAAGGAGAATATCAAAGATTCGAGCAATGACTTCATCAAAGGCGAAGCCAATGCTTTTGTGCAGTCCATTAAGGAGGCGCAGCAGGCAGGCGAACGGTAAGCAAAAACAAAATAAATAAAAAAAACCCTACATCTACACCTTCTACTCATCTAAATTATATTTAAATTCATTTTAAGTTTGTTATAAGTTCTTGGTCTTAATTTTTCGCCAATTTAAGACTACGTCATACGTTTCCGCATTGTCGGACCATTTGAGTTCAATGCACTCGCATGACTTGCCGCAAAAATAGTTTCCATGTGCCGGTTGGTGACAGTCTCAAGCCGCAAAAAATGTGCAGTGCGCCTCCACTCCACATGCCTCAAATAATGTTGAATATGATGCTGATGATCATGAGGATGATGATGCAGATGGTTTTTATTCTTCTTTTTCCCCCTCTATATGTTATTTTAGTTTCAATTTGCCAGCACTCTGGCGTTTTTTGCTTGGGCGGACAGCTCTCGCCATAGCGGCGTCGATGGCTTAGCATGCAGACCGCTGTGCTTGCAGTTTATTTATGCCGGCGACATGCACACGTATACATACATATGTATATGTGCATTACTTTAATACATATTAATAGTATGCGCATATGTGCCTCATATGTTCAGCTTCTTGTAATGACAACAAAAGTTCAACTTGCACTGCAAAGTCCTTCAGCCAGTGCGCTGTACATTCGCCCAATATTTGGTCTAATTGCACACAATTGATTTTTCTATTAATATTAATAAATTCGACTTGGTATTTGCTTTGATGAGCCCACAACCCTTAGCACGCAAGTCCCGTCCTTGTGGTGTTGAGCTCGTCAGGTGTTTATAGTTGGCGCAGCCCAAGGATATTCTATCGTCGCCTGCATAATTAACTTGGCCCTTGCTCGTTAGGGGCGACGTTTTGCCAAATCGAGCCACTTACGGTGCAGAAAATTGTCTTTACTATTTCCCCAGTTGAATCCATAATACATTTTGTTTTAAATATAACATTTTTATTGCAATGTTCATGAGTTAGTTCTAAAAATATAGGTTCCAATTTTTATATTAAAAAGTTTTCTCTGTTCCGTTTCAATCAGAATGTATGTACAAGTATGATGACTCTTATTAGAATCTATTGGGTATCAAATAGAACTTTGACTGTTTGGAAAAATGCATTGTAAATAAGTACATATATTTTATTACGACAATTTCATTATTATAGCCAGGACTAAGTCATGCTATGTAAGCTTTGAGACACCTTTAACTTATTTCCCTAGGTAACATGAGGGATATGGAAATATTCTAAAGTTAAAGTTAAATTTAATGCTGTCATAAAATAAAACTGTCTGAGATATAAGGATTATTATTTATTAAATCTTGAAAGTAACAATATCAACTGATTTGAGAAATAATTAAGTTAGGCTTTCCTTTACGACTATTCTCAATAGGTTATTTCGAATCTAGGATGCTTATATGCAAATGAAATCTTTTAAAATGCAATTGTGCCCACAAACATCATTCTTCGTGCAATGCTCTATCTGAAAATATATATGAAAATTATTATACTTATATACAAAAAAGTTGTATGTGGTATATTGCAAGTGTCGTGTAGCTGACACAACTTGGCGCTCAAATGAAAATGAAATCATGTGGTAATGCAAAATGTTCGTTTGTGAAAATCAACGCAACGTCCATTATGAGGAGGCATTGTCGTCGTCGCTGTCTTGATAGTTTTCAGACATGTTTGTTTGGTTTTTGGTTGTTGTGCGTCAGGTCACATGATCTTTAGGTAGTAGCCCGCTCGCTCGTTCGCACTCCCCACATGCAAGGTTTATTTATATTTGTGGAAACGCAGCAGCGAGCTCAGAAAATGTATTTTATTGTTTATACGTCAAATTGGCTGTGTAGCCAGCAGAAGATACCTACAAATAAACATACTTTGAGCCTCCACGTCGCCAAATGCACTCCTGCTGCGTTGCTATCCGACTGCATTATTTAAAGGGGCGACCATAACTTAATTTTAGACTGGCCCGCAGAACTGGCGACACTTTGTGTGCTTCAAGCCATGCGTATCTTTCCTTATGCTTCATTGTAACGAGCGTATATATAGTAGAGTATATACTTGCTAGATTATTTATAATGATAGCATATATGATCAGTGAGATATGCGACTTATAAAAACTGCAAGCTATAGAGCTAACTATTTTGAGAACGATCTTTAAAATACAAACTAAACAAAGGAAAACTTTCAACTTTAACTTTTCTAATTGGTTGATTATTTATTATAGCGATCATGGGTTATATGGGCCTAATGAAGTTTTTTGTGCACAGGTAGCCTTACCTTTATTCAATTTATTTACTAATGTTCTTAATCAGCATGAGACAAATCAATCTAGACATAGCCGTCTGTCTGGATGAACGCCTGGATTTTCGAAAAGGTTAAGTCCACATTGACTAAACTTGGTATATAGACTCTCCTAGTTCCTAGGCAACACGAGTTTATTATATTTTTGGATTGCCCCCTTCTCCCGCTGAAGAGTTTCATCAACACTATCCGTAGCCATATAAACTAAAGTTCGCGCTATCGATTTATAATAATAATGCGATAATGCTTTTTACTTAGTTTTAAACTGTATTTTATGCTTTAAAAGAAAAGTTGTAGCTTCACCTTGGATAATTATGGCAACTTGGTCCAGAATATGCCATTTTTCTTAGAACAATCAGTTCAAAAATGATTTATTGTTGATTAGAATGATTTCAAGTTAAAGCTTAAAGCTAAATGTTCAAGCTGGCCTACAAATAAAGAAATAAAAAAAATAAACGAAGATTTTTCACTTCAGAGAATGATCTCATTTGGTGCGCTATACTTTCTATCTTTCATAATTTTTTTTTTAATTTTTATCTTCCACTAATTGTTTGGCTTTGTATTTCATGTTCGGGGCGACAGGCGACGAGCGTCATTTCGCTTCAATTTAATTCAGAAAAGAAACTTTTGGCATCTTCCACTTAGGTGGTTGGTTGGTTTCCTACATTCTTATAAAACGTATTCGTATCTAGATTTGACGATGTTGCCAGGCCGAACTGCTTGTTGTCTTTTATTTGTTTTTCTCTTCTAAGTTTTTCGTATTATTATTTTTTTTATACCTTGGCGCATATGCAAATTGCTTTTGGCAAGCATCTTTTCTTGATCTCTTGCCAAAATATTGTTTAACAAACAAAATGGTCGCAAAAAGTGACAGCACGCGCGTATCTTTTTCCACGAAGCAACCCAAAGCTTTTAGCATATGTATTCTATTTGGTGTATTATACTATGTATTAACTGATAGATTAATTGCAGTTCTATCCATTTTTTGACTCCAAGTACTTTTTGTGTGTGTGGCCCAATTATTTCAAAATCATTTAATTGAACTCTTGCCCACATGCTTCGCTGCCTGCCAATTGTACTAATTAGTAATACAATTCAAATTTTGTAACATTTTCTTTACTCTTTTTTTTCAGCCGTTTAGATAACACCGCGCACATAAATAATTATTCGAATTCAGTGCAAAACGAACACAATTTTGTTGGCTAACGTTGTTGCTTACACACAGTCGTTTGTCAACTTCGTCATCATTCAATGACAGAGTATATAAAAATCAGTTGATAGATTGGCTGGCTCTGGGTAAAAAGAAGAGAACACTTTGGTAGCCCTTACAAAGTAAATTCTTCGCTTTCTATAAATCCAAGCAATATATTGTTTTAGGCCTTTTCGTACCATTTCAAATATAACGAATAAAGCAATATTTCCATTTCGAATGGTTCTTAGTTGCCCGAAAAATAGAATTTCAGTTCTGATTTACAAATTTTAAAATTCGGGTTCTATTACTATTCATTTCTAGAAACGCGACGAATGTGAAAACATGGCAGATGGGAATTTTTAAAGAAAGTAGTAATTTGATCAGAGTAGATATTGGATTGTCGGAACAGGGTCTTAAAGAATGCGGTTGCAAAATCAAAATTCCGAATCGTGCCGGGGTTACAAAGAGAAAACGTTTTATCGTAGAATTGGGAAGTGCTTATCGAACTTTAACATGCCCTTCTTTGAACCTAAATGAGTTTAAAATATATTATACTTCAAGAAAATTCAAAGAAAAATTATATTCTAATTGAAGAATTGAAGCGATAACATGTCCTTCGTAATCTAACAAGACATTTCCTTTTTCGAAGAATGAACTTTTGACTTACTGTGGTGCTATTTTTTTCACCGCCACTATATCTGTGTATCCAAAAGTAACCTCAAGTAGGTAGAATCAGGGAGCGGGCCATCGAAATAGAACAACTAAATATTCCTGCCCCGCACTTAGGATAACTTTCTTATCAAGTTCGGTGACTCTAGCTCTTATATTTTCGGAGATCTAGAACGACTCGTCTTGTTAAGCTGATAAAGAATACATATGTATGTATAGGGGTCTACCACGCCTCCTGCTGGCTTGATAAAGAATTGATCTAAGTTCAATATTTAATTATATTTGTATTGGTATTAATTATTTAGATTTGATGAAGGAATCAATAATCAGCACTAAGCTAAATAGCAGTCATAGAAGAGGTAGTGAATAGTGTCAGATCGGCGTATTTAATCCTTTTAAAATTTTAAATTAACAACAAATTAATAAAAGAAGCCCAAACTGCATTCAAGCTCAACATGGAAAATAGGAATGTAACGCCATTGTTTTTATCGTATTTACAGGCACGTATATGTTTTTCGTGGCCAGAACATTGCTTTCGTAGCTTCATATCGAGGGCTTACTGTTTCTCTCTGCTTTATTTATATCGCTGTTAAATTCATATCGAGGGCTTACTGTAGCCGTCGCGCATAAAAAACAAATGTTATTAAGCGTTATGCAACAATATTCAAGTTCATTGTAGCACGCAATATTTTGCTGCCAAAATATTTTTGCTACCAATTTCTGCTTTTGTTTTTCGCAATTCGACACGCCCATCTTTATTTTTTGCGATTACTTTTTAGCTGCGCATTTGCAGACCACACAGGCAGAGACCACAGATTCATTCAATTGTGTCAGATGCAAATTTATGGGCAACAACCGCAAAAT